CGGGTAATGAAACGTTTGCAAGAAAAGAACTAAGCTCAGAGAACCCCAAGGACTCCACAGTGTTCAGTCTCCGTAGATAAGGACCTAACATAAAACTGACAGGGGTTTTGGCCCTGTATGTGTGCAGCTGCCTGTGTGAAGGGGGTCTGGTATCTCATGCAGCTTAAGCTAAAATGGGCATGGAGGGCAGTTCCCAGCAATCAGAGGGGAGGAGGCACATACAGTATATTGCAGCCTAAGGTAGCCTGTCGATACAGAAAACTAAATTCCAACTCCCTGCTGCCATCTAATGGTCACCCAGCTTTTAGTAGCCAAAGAAGCTCTTTCTGAGACTGAATCCCACTGTTTTTTATGGACGGAACTTCTGAAACTCTTGTCCAAACCCGGAACAGTGAAATTGTTCCAGATTTACTTTCATCCAGACTGCCACCAGGCTGGAACAGGTGAACTTCTAGAATTCAAGTTTGAAACAAAACACATGTTCCATTTTGTGCAATATCTAAAGTTATTTTGTTACATTATAACAAAATGTACTTTGTTTATAGAAATACATTTGATGTATAAAATTAGAAAACATATTAAAATATAGTATATGAAGACAGTAAATATATATTGATTGAATTTATTTTGAACTTGTTTTTAGTTTTTGTTATAAATGGAGTATGGGCCTACAAGCTGCTAAACTCTAAGAAATGTAGCATCTTTTTGCCTGTTTAGGAGCTGCAGGAAGGCAAAAAGCAAAACAGATACTGAAAGCACCATTTTTCATAAAGCATGTGGAAAAGAAAAAAAGAAGAGGAACCGAGATGCAGCATATGCATTTTGCCAGAAGAAACATTATTTAATTGATAATGATAGGGCTGTGCACTCTTGAAAATTACATGGAAGAAGCACATCGGACATCATGCAAATACAGCACCTGTCCATGAGCCTGCAAAAAGATGCTACTGCTTTAAGAGTTGCTTTAATGAATCAGTTATTTAAGGAGAGACATCTTTTTTTCAAGCTCATGTGGAAGCTTGGAAAAGGATATGGCTACTTTATCTGATAGCAGAGAAATACTATACTTATGCTCAGGGATTTCAGTGTGTGTGTGAGAGTCAAGATGGCAGCTGTGATTGTACATGGCTGCCATTTTGATTTTTTTATCCCCCCCACCATACTCCTCTTCATGCTTACATAAGACTAAAGCACTTCTTCCAAATCATTTGCAAACTGCACAGCCCTATTAATCACCAGAGTACTATTGTGGTCAGCAGGTTCAAAAATCAAATTAAAAAAAAATCTGATTATAATTTTGATGGGCTTCTGAAAACTGAAGGCTTAGCTGTACTAAGACAAGCTTATGTAGTGTTTCACATATTAGTATCTTGAGTTCATTTGACAGTTTTCAAACAATGACCAATATCATTCTCAATGTAATCATGCTATGTATAATTTCAAATGAAATATTTCATAGTCCTTCTCCTCTACACTCCCAATTTTTCTGAAAACAGCAAAAAGTCATAGAAAAAGGAAGACTGATTCCCCCCCCCCCATTTCCATATTTCCCCTCTAGGCTTTTACATCTCTAGTCTGCTTTAAGTGAATTTCTTTTATTGTTTCCATTCTCTAGAGTATCTCTTTATATAGTTTCTCAGCCTAAAGCAGGAGTTTTCCATTTTTTTCTGGCCGTGGAACCTCTTAGATATCCTCTTAGTTATTTTTAAAAATTGCAGAACCTCTGATCAAAGGCAAAGCTCTAGTGATAGAAAGTTGACTGCATTCAAGTAAACATTTTTTCCCCTTAATTACTCATGGAGCCCCATCAAGTTCTTGTGGAATCCCAGGTTCCACTGAACTCAGTTTAAGAAGTCTTTTGAAAATCTGTGTTTGTTTGAAAGTTCAGTTCAAGGTTAAATTTCTTGTTACAAGAAAATGTGATTGGCATTTGTTAGCAGCACATCAGTCTTTTTCCTTCATGTTGTAAGTCTTCCAGCTGACATGCTTTCTGGCATTGGGTTGGAAGAACGTGATGGTTTGCATAAATATTGCAGGACCATAATGGTTTATGCTTGAGTCATATTTGGGCATTCCATATTTGTGAAATACAGTGTTCCCTATTCGTCCAGTGCTGTATTTTTTAATGAACTTATGATGGACAGTTCGGGTGCATAGTATCTCAGTATGAATCATGACAAGTCTCCACACTGGGATTTCTCATTTTTCCCTGCCCTCCATTTTCCTAGAATGATGAGTAAGTTAGGATTCCCAAAGCTTTTCCCATGTGGCGTTAGTTAATGCTGGACTAGGTGACGCCTTTCTTTGTTTTCCTTCTTCAGCATTTCATTTGCTAATTAACTTGACTTTTTTTTCCTTTAAGACAGAAACTTTAAGATTATATCTGATCATAGATGACACCAATCTCCTGATTCCATGCCTGTATTATTTTCTTGGAGAAGATAGGTGATCTATAGTTAGTTAAAGAAGGTCCACTTTCTAATCCAAATGCTATTGAATTCTCAGTACACTGACATCTGCTTTGGTGTGAGTGTGTGTGTTTGTGTCATATCTGCCGAATTAAGTCAGACATAGTTCTTTAGGATGGCAAATAAAGACTCTTTTGAAGTGGTTTAGAACTCAGTAGCAATGCCATTGTGAGATATCTGCTTTCTTTCTTATTCTCTAAAATGTCTTATAGGCAAAACCCTCTGAATAAATCTCAAATTCTGCAAGAGATTTTTCCCATCTTCTCTTCACTGCTGTTTCCAAAGGCCATTTCTCTAAAAAGCTGTTTTCTTGTCCACCATCCAAGGCTTCAAGATAAGGTTAGTATTTAAAGTTAAAATATTTCTGTACTTCTTTTTCAAATACAGTTTTACTTCAAGATCATTTGGCCGAAAAAGAATTATTTTTAAAAAGTATTTATACTCTGTATTTAAGTTTAAAAGGCTCTGTTAATGGTTTACACAGTAATAAAAACTAGAAGGTTTCATGCCCTCAGATTAAGAATCAAAAAAGATGTGAGATAGAAAGAAAGGAAGATGGCAAGATTAAAGAGAAACATGTTCTTAGTGCTAACATTATTTTAAAAGGGTCAGTGGGGAAGGAAATGGCTGCCCAGAGATGGGCAGAAGATATCATCTTCAGGGCCAATAGTTCTGTTCTTCTTCCTCATGGAACTGTTATTCCTCCTGTTTTCTGTGAGGAGAGAGGAATGGTCTTTAGCCTAGCTGGTTATAGCAGTAGGAAGAAGGCGATTCCAGTGCCGGGCTGCCCTTTTTCCTTGTAAGGCAGGCGGTTTAAAACAAACAGTAAATAGCCACCTCTTCAAGACAGATGGAATATGAGGTCCTCAATCAGCAGATTAGTAGCCCTCCTATGTTTTGGAGGCAATTGCTGAGAAAGCCCTGGCCACTTTGTTGCTGCTATTCAAACCTATAAGATAGGCAACTGGGGTGACTAATTTGGTGTATATTGTGTCATGCATATTAGAAAAAGGATGGGGTTGGGTTGCAACACTGTGCTGCCATCTTGCAGATTTTGACTCCACCCTGCCAATACCACTGGAGAGCATCAAGCTTCAGATCCGCTTGGTTGACAAGATGCTTGGATGATGGTTATGGTACCTTTTTTTTTTTTGCTCTGGCTGTTTTGATGATGCAGAGGAGCTCTAGAGTAAAAACCATTATCTGTGTCTTCACTTTCTCTGAATTCAATTTTATGATGTTTTCTTTTTTTTCCAGTAAAACTCTGAAAGGTCTGGCTAAAATAAAATGGAATCTCCTTCCTCTTTTATTTTTCAGTCATACAGACTGCAGAGCACCTTTGTGGTAGGAAGTGGTCGGCTCATCTTATATGTTATTCCTTCTCTCTTGTGCAGAGAGCACTGCAAGACATTGATGGTAGAGCTGGAAGCTGGAGATATTGGTGAGAATTGATATAGCAATAGGAGCTTATCCTACAAGCAGCAAATGTACCTGTAACTGTTTGGTAACTGTTGTGACTGTTAATGCTGGAAAAAAGCAAGTCATGGCTTGTAGCTCATGACATTTTGCCTCGTTAGATGTTTTAAGCTTTATGATGCAGTAAAAGAGAAATATATATTCCACACCCTATCTGTTGGGAAAAACATGAACTCTGTATACACTGTGTGGTTTTCTAAATTAGCTTTCCACCCTAGAAGATTGCATTTGGCATTATAGGAAGTTTGTGTTCAGTCTGTTGCAGCAGCCAAAAGGCAAAGTGCTGTTTATGGGAAGGCTACAATATAGTAAATAGTGTTGTTTCACTGCTGTACAAGGTTGGGGCAAACGTAACTTGATTGATCACTGCAGCTCAAAGAAGAGAATGTAGAACTGGGGCAACAACAGAGAAATGCTTATGTATAAACACTGTATTAGGAAGTGGAAAAATAAATTCAGGTAGACAAAGGGTGGGCAGTCTTTTCAGGCACCAGCCATCCATTCTTTTTTTAAAAATTACATGGACTTTTATCCTCAAGCTGTCATACAAGAATGCTGGGGTCTCACAGGTTTCAGGCCATTTTGGGGTGGGTTGGGGTGAACTCATGTCGTCTAGAGGTATGATGGATGTACTGACGTCTGAATGTTTTGTTGTGGACTCTTGATGGAAGACTCTTAGGTCTGTTTTACTGAAGCCACTTGATGAAATTGTTTCCATGAAAACATATACTGAAATAATTTGTTAGTCTTTGATACTACCAAAGGAATCTTGCTTAAGCCTTAACAAACTGATTAACTTTAAGCTGTACCCTACTCTTAGGACCAGAAAATGTATATGGATGATTTACTATTATGTAAGATATTGGCAAGGAAGCTTGGTGAAGTACTTATATACCATGGAAATAGAGTGAAGGGATGTTTCAGGGCACCATCAGCTCCAATATCATACAATAATAAACCACAATAATCTAGTGTTGTTGTTTTTCTTCCAAAGGTTTTACAAATGTAGATTATTGGACAACAAGTTTTAACTCCAGAGGATCTGAACCCGTTGTTGTTTGTGATGGATCTGCCAGTTAAAAACTCAAAGTGTAAGAACTCAATATCAGACACAACAAATATGGGGATGATACTGCTACAGTTTCCAGTGATAAGTTTTCCCTTCTCATCTGCAATGAAGAAAGCCATGCACTTTTAAAAGGACATTTTATTCAAAGTCACTGGCTTGTCTTTCAGATGTTTTGGTAGGAACTGGAAGACCTCTTTTCTCTATTTTTTTGTGGAATTATTCTTGAAAGCTGACTGATGGATTTTGTGGAGGGAAGGTTCTGTAAAGTACTGTTTGTGAACATTGTTCCTCTTGACAGTGCAGAAAAAGTTATCTCAAAATATTTCTTTCCAGACATCCTGGAGGAGGTAATGTCAGAGCTGCTGATGAATCTGTCTCTGGATCATTGCTTTAAAAGAGCAAACTACTGAAATATTGTGGAGACTGAGAAATTAAAAATGTCTCTCGAGAAAAGCATTTGCTCAGGTTCTTATCCTGTGTTACAGTTTGAATGCAGGAATTTGGTCCACAGCTGCATTTTTTTTCTTTCACTGTATTGTGATGACACATCTTCATAATATTTGTTCCAGTAAAAAAAAAAAATCATGTTATCTTTCCACCTAAGAACACAGCATGACTTTATGTAGTCATCATCAAAAGTGTGTGGCTGAGGTAGGGTTTGTATGCTTGACAGAGAAAAGCATCCTGCAAATTTATTTCTCTATCTCCTTTCATAAATGCTGAAATATGTACTCTTACTGCTTTTCCCTGGACTAAGTCAGTAGAATGCCAAATCCATTTTTTTTCCAAAATGAGTAATGTGCATCAAAGAGCCAAATTTATTAGAGGGCTGACTTGGTGAGAATGGTGAGCATCTTCTTCTAAAAATTAAGCCTTTGGAGGGCGTCTGGGTTGGACACTCCAAATCAGTCACCATTTTAGTTTGTTATCATGGTTGACTTGAGCTTGGGAAAGTATATCTTGAAAGCACTTTCTAAAATTTTCATTTGAATTTCTCCATATCTTTTTAAAATTGAGGTGGATAATTTGTGGGCAGGTTTGGAATGTGCAATGTTTAATGTGTGCCATGAATATGTTTGCCATTCTCTCTGAGCATTAATTGCATTCTCTCTTCCTTTAGCATTTTCTTAGAATACATGTTTGATCCTTGATCCCCTTCCCAACTTTTTGCATTTCCTCATACTTTTTGTGAACTCATCTATCTAGTGTCTTTAGATGGGATTACTTTCCAGCATGTGTTGTCTGAAATTGTAGTGGTGTTTCCCTTGAGTGAATCTTTAGGTTCCTGTTGTGTTAAGATAATTTGCAGATGCGTCAGGCTGAACTCAGGCCAGCAGTGAGGCTAGTGTGCATATTTGTACATGTTTATGTGCTTTGGGGGATTCTTTTATTAAAATGCAACCTTTCAAATGAAAAGCAGAGTTGTATTAAAGCAGAGGACAGTTTTAAAGAAAGGACTAGAATAAGATCTTTGTTTTTTAAAAATATTTCAGTTAATTATTAATTGTTCAGCAGAGTAACAGTTAAAGGACCCTGTCAGAATCATGACCCCATTCTCCATGGGCATAGTGCCAACAGACAAACATTGTTTATTTCCTTCTGTTTCTGACTGCAAACATGCATAACTAATTGGGGTACTGAGAGACTAAATTATGGTAATAAGTTAGTCTTATGGATGTTTAAAGGATCTGTGAATAAATAAGTGATAGCACTATGAAGCTTAAATTTTTAGAAGGTGGGAATTTAATCTGCATCACTGATGTTAAGTGCTTGCTGACTGTTTTCACCTTTTTTTTTTGAAACAGAAATTTCACACCATATAACTTTAAGTCTGTATAGAAAAAAAAATCTTCTTAGTATCAGGGCTAAATATTTTACTAAAGGTGTGTGTGTGTGATGATCGCTATATAAGTGGACAAATGTGTTGCTTGCTTTTTCATTAATGTTTCCTATATACTCTTATATGCGAATAAGCCCCATTAAATTTAATAGCACTTGCTTCTCAGAAGGCATGTATAGATAATGGATGAAAAGCCCCCCCCCCAATTCCCTAAGTGGAATTCCTTGCTTGATATTTCTATACTTTGGATGTTTTTCTTTTTTCTTTCTTTTTAATGAAAAAGCTAGAAGGTTTCTAAATTCTTCTTCATTCATTTTTTACCACGGATGAATGTAGATCCATCCACCCAGAGGATACTGTTCGTTTTGAATTGCATGTTGATCATATTTTTGATTTTCATACAAATAATTCAAAAGGAAAAAAAAAATCAAAGCATTTCAGAAGATGACAAAGACCACTTAAATCTACAAAGTTATGGATTTCATTTCTGTTTTGGTAGTGAAATATTTATATTTAAGAGATTTATGTCAATGATGCTCACTGTTTAATAATGTGCTGGAGAGCAGGGAATTGATGAGTATTATGTCAATCTAAGGGTCCCTGGAGAACAATTGTTCAAAGGTACAAATATTTCCAAAAGAGGGTTTGTTTTTTTCACTTTCAAATACAGACCAGGATATTGTTAGCGTATTAGACAGGGGATAATGTATCTATTCTACTTTTTGATTCTGGTTTTCCACGTGCACTTTTGTCTTTGTATCGGCTTCCAGATCTGGGTCTAGGATGTGCTATGCACATGTCCAAGTCTCATTCCCTCTGGAGTTTACATCATTTGTTTTCAAACTTCCAGTACATTTTCTCCTTCTTTTCTACAAGCTGCAAGGAATTAAAAGCAGAAGTAATTGCTCAAGAGGAATCTGAGATCCAAGTTCTCTGATTTTCAGCTGATTAAGAGCATTTACTTAGATAAGACCTTTAGTTGTTTCGTTTGGAATGCATGCTACTATTGGAAGGCACCAGGCAGGCGAAGGCTGTTACGGAGCATTTGTTGATGAATATATGTATACTTTGTTGCTGTTTTCATCACCTTTGCCACCCAGTAATATTCTTCTGTTGCATGATATTGATAGATTTTTTGCAGAAAAATCCTTTAGATTTCCTGTCCGATATTCACTGTATATTGGTCAAACTGTTCTTTGCCTCTTTTGGAGAAGCAGCCTAGCTGCTCTGTTGTGCTGCAGTATTTACAAAACATTCATTAAATCCTGTGAGTACAGTCCTAAGGATGGCATTGGCTGGTGTGTTTCTTGGCTAGGTTCAGTGTCCCAGATATAGATTTTGTCTGCCAGTTGCATAGTAATGAAAGATTCGTCTTTGGGCAAATTACATGGCATTGGTGAATTGAGCTGATATAATGGTTTGAAGAAATGAGTAGGATTGAGCAGCGTTTATGAGGCTTGCCCAGCTGCCTAAATGCACCCACATCCATGGATACTTGGTGTTCAGATCACCACGGTGTTCCTTCTACCCCCAAATAGCAGCTTTAAGATTTCAGTTTTCAAATCCTGAGATCAAGGTAGGACCAAACAGGCTTTGTAAAATTTTCTAAACCATTTCAGGGAAATCATAAGGGAGTTTCTGTTGCACACAGTAGGAGAGGTTGTAGATAATATTCATATTTATAGGAAGAGAGTTGTCGGTTCAAAAAGAATGGCAATTTTAAAATTCATAACTTTGACAGAGCTGGTGGTATAAGTTAGGGGTGCACTGTTAGACTTTCCTGGAGCCACTGTTTGCCTACAAAGACAAAATCTTCACTAGAAATTCAGCTACCATTTGAATGGAAGGCATTTACATCTCAGAATATTTCTCTATTTTTCTTTGTGAGAGAAAAATTTCTCTATTTTTCATTTGTTAGGGAAATGTACAATTTAGCAAAGCCTGGAAGACATGACTTTTTTAAAGAAACAAAATTATCTGCTCTTTTACTGACTAAGGGAAATACTCAAGTTTCTTGTTTTAAAGACTTGAGCATTTTTAAAATATCATTTGTCCATGCACAGAATAGTGGTAATGCTATATGTTATAAAGGCTCAGGGGTGCCTGGGAAATAGTTATTTGTGTGTGTATATTGAATATCCATGTAGTCCAAATTATGGAATTTTTCATATAAATGTAAATATGCAATTCATGCAGAGTTTTATGAACAATTATAAAGTAATATATTGCAACCTTTTGTAAATATTGGGAAATGGCTGTAAAGAGTGTAAATAAGTCAGATTTATATGTTGAGAGCAGAGGTCAATTTTTACTTTTTGCAATTAAATACAATTGTTGATGCACTTTGCCCCATATGGCTTTTTTCCTTTGTTAAATAAATAATGTTCTATCAAAAGCCCCTGTGTATATATGCTACATCATGAGGTAATTAAATTGGTGTGGGGAAATATGTTTTAGCAATATGCCATCTGCCAAGAAGGAGCAAAAAGATCAGTTAATTGCCAAGGAAATATGCTTAAACAGCACACACACACACACACACACACACAAAACCAACTTACATATAAGTTATTTGGTTGCCTAATTTTGACTACAGTGTTTGTGGTTCTTGGATTTTTTGAATAAAGAGTGGGGTCAGAAAAAGGAGGATGAGTACAGATTATGAACTCCTGGAAGGCGAGAATATTCCATGGAATAATATGGTTTCCAAAACATGAGTGCCTTTGGGGGAGATATTTTGGAAATTCAGGGCAGATACCATCCATCTTGGCATCACTGCTGACATTTTTTATGCAAGAACTAGATATGATGGGAAGGAATCTGTATATCAACTAAGCAATTTATTTTGTTCACCTCTTGAAATACACAATGTAGGAAATTAGTGGTGTTTGACTCCCAGCAAATTTTAAAATATAAAATATAAAGTTTTCAAATGCTGCTGAAATGAATAAGTGAACTGAGAAGGGTGTGGCAATTTTTAAAAAATGACCCTAACTTTAAGACCTAACTTTATAGGTCTTTATAAATTTTAAGTCACATTGAAGTGTGCCTGAGAAACAGAGGATTCAGTGCAAACTCTGGATCAGTAGTGTGCCATGTTGATGTGCCACAAAGGCAAGCGAGCACATTGTTACATTTAACTCCAACTAAGATTTCTAACTAATCATCAAAGTGATCTCGTGATAATGGTTACACTATCTAAGCTCAAAAGGTATGCGCTATTGTCATCACTAGATATGAATTGAGCATACATGAATATCGTACAACTTTCTCTCCACATGGAACAAGTGAACTTCACTGTAACCTGAATTTCCAGTGCACACAAATAGATTCATGTTATGAAGATGGACCAGCATCTCTTGTAAGCATTATTAAAATGGATAATGCTAAGTACATGGAAACCTTAGTGTGCATTCACTTGCTAATAAATGAAGATTGAATTCTGCCCTGCTCCTTGCTTCCAAATCTGAAGAAACAGTGGAACATCCGTCACTACATACAATGCTAAAATGTTGATCTTCATTGGAAGTATATTTCTGATTGTTCAGTATGAAATGTCCCACTTTCAGAGTTTTCAGATAAAAGGTGTGTAGGACTTCGGGTATAACAAAATTTTATGGAGAGAGAAAGCTAGTATTGTTTACCCCTTCCACACTTTTCTAGAGGGAAACAGTCTTTTAGTAACCAGAATACTATGAGCCATGTGTACATCAAATTCTAACTCATTTGTTTGGAAGCAATCTAATAATGATATTTAGGATATGCCCTCACTGAAAGAGATGCAAATGTTAACTTTCAGATTTTTCTAATGAGTAGGGTGTGTAGAACTACGCCTGTATCACATTTCATGCTTTTACATCATGTGTAGAAACACTGCAGTTTTGATACTTCAGTAAGGTCCGTTTTTATATATTTGTGTGAACAATTTTTACATGAAACAGTATTTACAAAAGAGTTCAAAGAATAGTTCATTTTTTAGGCAATCAAATGATTTCTGCATCTTTAGCATGTTAATCTCCTAAAACTACACATAAGGGTCTTGTGACACTGTTAAGATCTTGGGTGAAATTGCCATGCACATAGATGAGCCCATGTCTGCCTAGTGTGGTTCTTGGCACTCTTCTAAAATATCTGGCTTGAGTTGTCATTTTTGAGGATATTCTGAAATAGTTGCATTGCAGCTCTGAGCCAGTAGGACATTCATATGTTCCTAATCTTTTTATGCACAGGGATACAGGGCCTCATTGTAAGTCCGTCATCTTGGCTCTTAAACTGCATTGTGTCAAAACGTAAAGCACATGCAGCTGTTACGTAGCTATATCTTCTGCAGATGTAACAAGGTGTATTATAGTCAGATCACATATTCTGGGTGAAAGCACTTAAATGCATAAAGAATTTGTATCTCATTATTATTATCTTAAGATTTGTTAAGACCCCATCAGGATAAATTTGCCAGTCTGTGGGTGGGAAGTTGTCATTCTGTAATCGGGAACTACAAATGTTAGTTCCAAAATGAAAACTATGGATGGCGTCCCAGAATGAAACAACTGCTTTCCCAACCACTTTTCATTACTAGCATATTAGTTCACGACAGTACATGCACAAAGTTAATTTAATCCAGGTGCATATAAACACACCAAACACAACAGTAAAATCAAGATAATTCAGGATACTGCAGTCTCAATGGGAAACTGGTGAAATGAAGATGCTACTGGGGAATTTGTTGCAGGTATATGATAGAAGTATTCCTATGATCGGTAACCTGGAGGATTGTGGTCCAGGTTATTAGAAGGCTTCTCATTGGTTTCCCCCATGTAGAGTATAAAATGCAGTGATACAGATGGATTCACAGTACACATTTGGTGTCTTCATTAGTTTCTTTTGGTTTGGCTTAGTAAGTTAGGTAAACCCAGCCACTGACAGTTTTGTAAATCATAGTTTATGGATTAGTGTGGGGGGTATATCTAACCAATTATGCTGTTAATAAACAATAGATGAATCTAGCCAGTGGTTGCAACACGAATGGAAATGTCCTGCACTCTACTTGAAAGGAAATGGAAATCTCAATTCACAGTACTGTTACATGCCTTCGTTGTATTTAAATATGAGATTTGTAAAACAAAATCTATTTGTAATAAATCAGGGCAAAATTTAAAGGGAATTGGAGTGTTTACATTGCTCCCATGTTGAAACTTATATATGGATCTGGGAGAATTGCAAAACAAGCATTAGTGAAGCAAAGAAAAATTCAGGATGCTTACAACATAGTGGGACATGCATATGGGACTTTCCTTTTGTTTGTTTAGATGTTTTAATGGACATGGGATGTGTGCACAAAAACGCTGCTAAGACCTGGCTGGTCCAGAAAGCCTTTGGGAACTGATATTATGCTGGATCCCCTCCCTGCCATAAGTGATTATTGCTGCTAGGAATGTCTATCTTGAAGTGCCGGTAGTTATTTTCTTATTTATCTATGTTCTTTTATTTATATCCTGCATTTAAAGAATATTTTCCAGCTCACAAAGGTAAACAGTAAACAGTTCAAAGGCACAATGAAAACAGCATTTTAATGACACATCAGAAAATAAACAAGAGCCAACAAAAGGTATTGTTATAAAATGTATATTTCTCAAATACTTTCAGGTCCTAAAACTGTGTTGGAAAGTGAGAAAAAGTAGAGGTCATGACAGAACCCCCTTGAAGGGAATTTTACAACTATAGAGCCAGTGAGAATTATCTGGATCCTTTTCAGTTCGGATTCAGGTCTGGAATTGGGATGGAAGCCACATTGGTCACTTTTGTGGATAACCTCTGGTGGGCTCAGGATAGAAGGAGCGCAGTTCCCCTGGTGCTAAGTGGAGATCTTGGTTGCCTTCAAGACCATCTACCATTGTATAGTTCTGGGCTAGGGAGTTCTCTTCTACTCGAGTTCTGGGCTAGTTAGGGCTGGATTGAGCTGTATTGCAATGGGTCTCCTTCCTGCATGGCCAGTTTCAATCATTTGGAGGGGGAAGGAAGATCAAGCTGTTGGGTGCTCCATCATGGAATACTGCATTGGTCCTTTCCCTTATCCTCTGTAACATCTATCTGAAGGCGGTGGAGGCGATATCATCAATATACTGATGAAACCCCATTATTCGTTGTCACCCTCAGCTGGGCAGGAGATGAAATTGACATCTCGTCTTTGTTCCTTCTTACTGTCTGTGGATTGGAGCAGCATATAAACCTGGATAAATGAGTAAGTAAACAAAATAAGACTGCCTCCCAAAGACTAGCAATTTGAACTTGGCTTAATAATAAAATCATAAAGCAATTCAAGGAATAAACAAAATAATAGTTCAAGGAAAAAACGAAACAGAATACAAGGAGCATCAGTGTTTCAAATCCCAGACTATAACCAAGTTGAGGTAGAATAACTAGGAGACCAGGCCAGATATTGCCTGTTGAAATAGGATGCAGACATGTTGAAGTTAGGGTATGCTGCAAATTCAGCACACGTCTAGATTGGACAGGAACTATGGAAACCCTCTGTCTTCCTTTCCTATGGCCACTGCCTGATCTTTTGCCCTTTTAGCATCCAGGCTGCTGATATCCTTCCCTTGATACTAGGCATTGATAAGTTCTGGTCTTTGCTTGCTTCAGGCTTTTTCTGAGGGCAATTCTGCAGGGCAGACCAAGTTGCTGGTCTCCCATGTTGCCCCTGGCTCTTCCTGAAATCAGTTTTTACAATTCCAGTCCAGATTGCAGGTGGGCTGGGTTGGTGCTCAGTCCTCCAGACTGGGGGGTGCCACTGCAGGATCTGGCCATTCCCCTGGTTCTTGCTCTTCCATTCATGCAGGGAAGACAAGCCTCACTGCCTGTCCCCTAGGTGGGTGGGTCACCCAGTGTCTGTCTTTTCCTTTTGGGGATTGTACCCTCTTCACTAGTCCCCCTTCCTTTTCTTTCCTTTCCCAGATGTGTGCACATATGGATGCCTTCACACTCCTTTCCCACATTCTCTTCTTTGATGCTAATGTGGACCATTTCTTTTTTCCTTTTACTGTCCCATTGTTGCGCTGATGCTACAAGGATCAACGCAAAGGGAACAGATTGTTCCTTCGTTCCTACTTCTGCTGTAGAAATTTTGTATCAAGAAAAGAACTGATGGTTGAGCTTCGTAGATGCAAAGTAGAATTCACTGGAACTGTGTAGCTTCCTTCCAATGTGCCTATGTTGCAACATAAAAATGTAGAAAGGAAAAAAGTGGCAAGGGAAGCTTTGCAGTACTGTTGGCAAGGGGTGGGAAAGCAAGAGGAATTTGCTTCAATCCATCTGGGCAGAAATGGTGCCCACTGGGAGATGT